TTGCTGAGCTTCTTGAATTTCTTGTCTTTTACTAAACCTGGGGAAAATTTTAGCTATTGTTGCTTCAAATAGATTTGCTGCTTATAGTCTTTCTTCTTTCCTTCTCTGACCCAGAGAAACCATTTTAGACCTTTTGGTATGATCCTATAGATTTCAGAGGATCTGTTCTTTTTAAATGACTTTTCTCTATTTTTCACACTGGATAGTTTCTTTTGCTTTGTCAACTTCATTGATACTTCTGTCTTTTCCTCTGTCATCTCCTCTGCTGTAAGGTCTATCCAATGAGTGGTTTTTGAAATTTTGATTATTGTATTTTTTTTTAAGTTCTAAAATTTCCATCCTGTCCTTTTTTTATATAGTTTTTTCTTTGCTGGACTATTTGTTTCAAACGTATTCCCCATACTTTTTTTTTCAGTACTAGGCATTGAACCCAAGGAGTATTGAGCTACCTTTCTAACCCCTTACTTTCCTTTTCTCCTTCTTCCCTCCCTGCCTCCCTCCTTTCATCCTCTCCCTCTCAGTACTGGTGGTTGAACCAGTGGCACTCTGAGCTACATATTCAATCCCATAAAATCATTTTCAGTAGCTACAGAATTATGAGCAAAGCTCTCCTAAATGAATATACAGGAACAACTAAGTGATAGAGGTTGAATGTCCCTAATCCAAAGATCTGAAATGCTCCAACATCCAAAATCTTTTGAGGGCAGACATGAAGTTGCTGGTAGAAAATTCCACACCTGACCTTACATGATGGGTCAAATTCAAAATGCTCGTGCACTAAAAGTAGTGTATTGTGTAAAGTTGCCTTTAGATTATATTTGTAAGGAGTATGTGAAGCATAAATGAATTTCATGTTTAGGCTTGTGTTCTATCCCCAAGATATCTCATTATGTGTATGCAAATATTTCAAAATTCAAAAAGTTACCTGAAATCTAAAACATTCTGACCTCAAGCATTTCAGATAAGGGATCTTCAACCTGTAGTGCTAAAGCAGAAGGTTCTATTCTGCTGAGATCTCTGTGGATCTATAAACTAAAGGGCAGGACTTGATTCAGTACACTCATAGAGTTTATAATGAATTTCTGTGTTCCAGGTTCTATGCTAGGCACTAGAATATAAATGTAGAAAAAAAAAACTTTTTTTTTTTTTGTCTTTTTGAGATAGCGTCTCACTATGCAGTTCAGGCTGGCCTTGAGCTCACTTTGTAGCCCTAGCCCAGGCTAGTCTCAAACTCACAAAGATCCTCCTGCCTCAGCCTTCCAAGTGCTGGGCTTATAGGCATGAGCCACCATGTCCGGCAAAAAAACATTTTCTCTTCTCATAGAATTGAGATTAAATACAGAGGCAGAAACAAATAAATAAATACAATGAAGAAAAGCCGTAGAGGATAGAACAAGAAAGCATGGTCAGGGGGCTGGGGATTTAGCTGGGGCTGGGAATTTAGCTCAGCGGCAAAGCACCACCTGGCAAGCACAAGGTCGTGAGTTCGGTTCCCAGTACAGGAGAAAAACCAAAAAAAAAAAAAGAAAGCATGGTCAGGAAAAGTTTGATAGAATTGGTACCCCTTGAAGGAAGAATAAGTGTTTGCCTATCAAGGCACAGGATAGAGGGCTACACTGAGTAAAGTAGATGTAATTTAGTATTCATGAGATTGGGTCATAGAGCTTTACTTACTAACATGAATAGTCTACAAGACATTGTCAAATTTAAAAAGCAGCTGGGATTGATGGTCCATATCTGTAATGCCGGCACTCTGGGAGGCTGAGGCAGGAGGATCCAAAGTTCCAACCCAGCCTAGGTAACTTAGCAACTTTGTGAGACCCTGTCTCAAAATTAAAAAGGGCTAGGGGTGTAGCTCAGTGTGAAGGCTCTGGGATCAATCACCAATATCAAAAGAAAAGAAAAAACAAGGCAAGAAGAATATGATGATATGATTACATTTAAGTGAAAAAACTAAAACCATATTGGTGTCTACCTGTGCATGTGTGTGTGTGTGTGTGTGTGTGTGTGTGTGTGTGAACACAGCAAAATTTATGAAAGAACATCTGCCATACTGGTCACTTTTCAGGAGCGAAGTGGATGCAGAGGTAGAGATATTAAGGGAGACTCTGCATGGTTTGTGTGTTTTAGGAGATTGTTTTCAACTGTTATATGTGTTATTAAATATAATAAAACCATGAGTAAATAATGGAATGTTGATAGGATGGAATGTTATTCAGCTGTAAAGACACCATTTATAAGCTAATGCCAGCATTTTCTAGATTTTTAAATGCTTTCAAAACAAGTATATCAAGTCCAGGGTTTTTTTGTTTTTCCTTTTTATTTTTTTCTTTTTAGATTTTTGACATAGGGTCTTGCTAAGTAGTTAAGGCTGGTCCTGAACTCACAGCAATCCTGGCTCAGCTTCCCACATGCTGGAATTACAGGCATGGGCCACCACACCCAGTTCAAATCCAGTTTTTGAGAAAGCAATGATTTTGTTTGTAACTTAGACTAGAGGACCCGGAGAGCTTAATTCCTGTTTATGTACATGCATGCATGCAGATAAAGAGGCTTGGAATGCTCTCTAGATCCTGGGTTTTAATAATCACAGTCTCTAAAAAATAACATTATAACTGTTTAACATTTTTCTTTTTATTATATATACTAATTTTTCTATAAGAAATAAATATTTCTATAGCCAGAAGATTTTTTTGGTAGAAAGTACTCAACACTGGAGCTGGATATTCTCATTGTCTTTGATGATAGGAGTATAATTTGAGACATGGGCTTTTGAAAGGGATTTAGTATCTTGTGATTCTTTTCCTTTTTTTTTTTTTTTTCTGATACCGGGAATCAAACTCAGGACCTTGCGCTTGCCAGGCAGGCACTTGTGCCACTGACCTACATCCCCAGCCCAAAAGGGATTTAGTATCATACATCAGCAGTCTGAAAATGATTATACCCTTTGGCCTAGTAATTACACTTCTAAGAATCTGCCCTAGGAAATGATCCAAAAGACCTATATAAAATATGCTAATGAGAGCATTTTCTGTAATGGAGAAATTGGAAATGGCTTTATTATCTTACATTGCATTTGATGAAATATCATGAAAGTCCTAAAATTATATTTAAGGGATTTTTGTATGTTTTGTTTTACAGTACTGAAGATTGAACCCAGGGGATCTCTACCACTAATCTGCATCTCTAGGGCTGAAAGAGTAGACAGGGTCTTACTAAGTGGCCTAGCCTGGGCCAGAACTTGAGCTCCTCCTCCCTCATTCTCCCCAGTGGCATGGATTACAGGCATGTGCCACAATGCTTGGCTGTTCAAGAGGGTTTTTAAATAACATTAGAAAAGGCTAGAGAAGTGAAAATATCCCTTCTCAGTCAGACCTTTCCTCACTGAGATAAATAGTAATTCTTTTTCTTTCTTTTTTATTTCTGGTTCAGGACTTTACACATGCTAAGTCAATACTCTCTGCCACTGAGCTACACCTCCAGCTCTGTAACTTCTACTGCTATTGCCAAAAGTTAGTTTTGCCTCTATTTGAACTTCATATGTATTCTTTTTTATGTATATTCTTTCTTATCTCTCTTCTTTCATAATTCTGTATAGCATTCCACAGTATGATATACTACTATTTGCCCATTTTTTGTTAATATATATTTGTGGTATTTCCAGTTTGGGGCTATTGTAAATAAAACTGATAACATTTTTGTTCATGTCTTTTAGTGGGCGTATGCATTCATTTTTTTGGTAAATATTTAATAGTGAGATTGCTGTACCATGAACTGCCGAACTATTTTCCATACTACCAATGTGCATTTTCACCAGCAGTGTTTTGGAGTTCCAGTTACTCCACATTCCTGCCAGTGCTTACTATTGATAGTCTTTAATTTTATCCCTTCTGGTAGATTCGTAATAGTATCATATTGTGGTTTTATATATATTTAATTGCTTTTGGTTTTCATGTTCATACCTGTTCTAACCAATAGTTTCATTTTTAGTATATTTTCCTAAGGGTATGACCTGAAATCCAGAATAAAAAAAATTATGGACAGTGTGTACTCTTTGCAGCATAACGTAGCCAAATATGAGAAATAACCTAAATATATACACTGATGGAAGTGGTTACATAATTTAGATGTATTCCTAATATTAAAATATGTAGCCATTAAAAATTATTTAGACAGATTAGTCAGGATACATTATTGTACATACAGTGTCAAACATCCAAAATGTATATTAAAATAGAATATAAACCAAAAATATTTTTAAATTCTGTAAGAAAATACTGAAATAGGTTTGGGTGGTTGTACTATGTGATTTCCTTTACCTTCACCTTTTTTTTCTTTTTACATCTTTTTTTTTTATTGTTTATTGGTACATTTTAGATATAATGATCACATTCATCATAGGGAATTTGTACTTATACATGATATATTTTAGTTCCTCTTTTTTTTTTTTTTTGTTTTGTTTTGTTTTGTTTTGGTTTGGTTTGGTTTGGTTTTTCTCTGGTTCCGGGAACCAAACTCACGACCTTGCTCTTGCCAGGCAGGTGCTTTGCCTCTGAGCTAAATCCCTAGCCCCCTCCTCTTTTTTTTTCTTCCATTCTCATCCCCTCCCTTCAACCCTTCTTCCCCTCCTTATTTACAATGCTTTATTTCTCTTTTATCTTTTTTGTCAATGTTTTCTTTTCCCTTCCTCCCCCTCACTCACCTTTCCTTTTGAACCATTTCTTCCTATTTCTTTTCCTCCATCTTTACATATTTTTTCTAAAGATCATGTGATCATTTTAGAATACCACAAAATATAAGTAAATTTCAGTTATGCCAGATTTTATGTTGTATAGTGCTTTCTCCCTATTTACTCTTTTCTGCAAAGTGGAAATTTGCTCATTTGGGTTTCTTTAAATACTTTATTTCTCCTGTTATTTTGACTCCAAAATTATAAGTTGTATGAAAAAGACATTCTTAAATTGTTTCTTTTTCTGATAATCTGATGTTCCAACATCCAGTCTAGGACAGAAGATAAAATAGAACGATTCAAGAAAGCAGTCGAGTACTATTCAGTTACAACCAAACTCTCTACGTTGCCAGTGGGTCCCTCCTTTCTAGGTAAGGCTTCCATCTGATTGTCCTATTCATTGGAAGAACTGCGTTTGCCTGTCAGGAACTCCAGGGATAGAGTGGAATCACTTTATTTGTGGTTGTTTTCCTTGAAGTCATTCCTATTTACTATGCATTCTCCTTTTGACTTCCATGTCATTAAGAAACAGCCCTGCCTTCTCAAATTTATAGATGAGTTACAAAGCCATTTCCTTAGCTTGAGCTTTTTCTAGAGCTAACCCCTATTCTGGCGTGATGTAAAATAGTCCTGTCTTGGGGGTCAGGCCTGACTTTGAACTCTACCTCTGCTGCCTACCATCTGTGTGACCTTAGCAGGTCATATTTGTATGAAATGTGGCTCATGATACCTACTCTGTTATCTGTTTTGTTTTGTTTTTTTTTTCTTCTTTTGTACTGGTAATCAACTTGTGCTTCCCAGGCAGGCGCTTCTTATGTCACTGATCTATATCCCTGGCCCTGTAGGGTTGTTATCTGATGAAATAATTCATGTAAACTTCCTGGCATGGCACATAATAGCTCTTCAATTAATTTTAACATTTTTGTGTAATGATAATTTAGTAGAATGTCACATGGTATAAATATTAGGATTAACTGAAGTACAGTCCTCTCTCTTGGCTTCAGGCTTTCGAAATAATCAGATTGGAAACCCTTCCCTTCCGCGAAATCATATTGGCACCATTTCTGCTGGAAAGCCAATGGTAAGCATTGTTTAGGAGACCTGAGACCATTTGTTAGCGTTAAACTCAGGTTGTTTCCTGATTTTTATAATTTGAGTTGAGTAGGGAGGGTGAGTCATTGCTAACAGACTGTCTGACTGTATATTCATATATTACTTTCTACATTGATTCAGGTAACCTGTGTAAATAAAAATAGCATCCACATTAGTAACTATTTGGGCATTATGAAAGTAGATTAGCTACTGTCAGAGAATGGCTCTAGGAAACCTGGATGGGTTCAGTGTCCTGCTTATAGTTGATTCTGTTCATATATCACTTTTGAACCATTTCTCCTTATTCTTAGTAGCTACTTTTTATCACAAGAGTCCCTGCTACTGGCATCATCTACTATGTTTTACAATCTGAGGGAACCATGTCGGAGCCTGGTAAAACGTTAAGTGGCTTTTCTGTCTGCTTTGTCCTTTAGTTTCCTCACCATGTGCCCCAGAAAATGAAGTGTCCACCACCATTCTCAGTGGGACCCAACTCATCTCTTCTCTTCGCCTCCCATCCTCTGGGGGAATCCAATGCCTTTTCTGAGGATCCCATGATACAAGACAGCCCCTTTGCCAGTTGGGCTGTCTCTTACGACTCCTCTGCACCCCAGTTTCCTAATTACCTTACTTCCAAAGCTTCACCTCCTTTGCGACCAGACTCTTCCCATTCTTCTTCCTCTGATGGTGATGAGCCAAATGGAGCCAGCTCTGAGTAAGTATCTGTATAAACCCTGGGGGAAAAGATTTCAGAAGGAATACTTGAAGCGCGTATTTTTGGCTTTCTTTCGCTAGTCTTTGGTCTTTGGCCCTGTGAGATGGTAATGTTCAGATACCCAGGGCATTGAAGTAAAAGGCAGCATAGCCATTGGTTAGAGAAACTACGGTATGGATGTGCTATGTAACATGAGTATAATTTTGCAATGACTGAATGTAAAAAGAAAAGGGAAATAATTTAGTGTTGAAGTATTGGAACAGCTGAGTAGACAGTTGTATGGCTTAGTAACTAAGGCGAGGTTCTTACCATATACTAGCTCATTTATTTTTAGATTATGCCTCTAATTTCCAGGAAGCAGAGCTAATTATTTTCTTAGAATATAAGCAGGATGCAAACATGGCCTCTTAAAAATATAAAGAATTTAGAATGATTACTATGACTTTGGATTAGTTTGGTTTGTATCAGATGAAAGAAGCCAGGAGGGTAGTAATAACCACTGAGAGGAAAAGTATCAGGCCCAGAGCTAACCAAGTGTCCTGACCCCCCAGAGGGGTTTGTTTGGTTCTGTGGGATGAGATGAGAATGGACATACTGAGTGGAAATACCTTTTATCAACCTCCCTTTCCTGTTCTATACTGTCTTGCTAATTTTTTTAGTCACATCACAGAAACACTTCAGCAGCAGCCTGGATGGGAAGACACCAATGGTGACAGAGGGACTTGGGCACAGCCTGTTGACGCTGGAGTTTCAGAAGCCAGCCTAGGTGATGGTGAGCCTCACATCCCATCTCTACTGTCTATGTCTACAAGGAACCACATGGACATCACCATCCCACCCTTACCTCCAGTAGCTCCAGAAGTCTTACGGGTTGCTGAACATAGACACAGGAGAGGCCTTATGTATCCCTATATCTACCACGTCCTCACTAAGGTGAGACAGCACATTAGCACTTAATGCCTTGCTCCGAACAGTCCTTTATACTCACTGAGACTATCAGCTGTCAAAGAAAAGTGTGATAGGGCTGGGGATTTAGCTCAGCGGCAAAGCGCCTGCCTGGCAAGCGCAAGGTCGTGAGTTTGGTTCCCGGTACCAGAGAAAAACCAAAAAAAACAACAACAAAAAAAGAAAAGTGTGATAGTTGGTATCTAGAAGATTAAAGACCATGTATGCTGGTGGCCCTCATTGTATGAAGGGACTCAGGTGAGATGGGATCATATAGTAAATAGATCCCTATAAGAGAATTATAATTATGAGTTTTTCAAATGGATGATGCACCAAGTTGGCGGGCTCTGGTTCTAGGGATAGGCATAGTCTAAGAAGAGCCTTTGTGCCCTTGTTCCTTATCCTTATCTCTTCCTCTGCTTCTACACAACTGTTCTTCTCTGGTCCTATCATATAAATTCACACCCCAGCAAGACGCCTAAGATAAACTGTCCCCTCTGTCAGCTAGAAGTTGATCATAGCTGAGATGTTTAAAGTGGAATTACAACTTACAAATTGATTGGGGTCAGCTGGGCTTTATACAGCTTCTTTTTAATCTGAAACAAATAGAAAATTTAGTAGTTAAACTATAACTCATTACCAGTTCTTCTAAGCTCAATTCCAGACTCTCAAGAAACTCATTTTCTCCTTTCCCTGGATCATTCTCTTACTAGGGTGAGATTAAGATCCCTGTATGTATTGAGGATGAGTGTAACATGGAGCTGCCCCCAGCTGCTCTTCTGTTCCGATCAGCTCGTCAGTATGTATATGGAGTCCTTTTTAGTTTGGCGGAGACACAGCGGAAAATGGAACGCCTGGCCATTCGGCGGCGGCTACCTGTAGAAGGTAAGTATAGTTCTAGCTTTGACAGTTCTCTCATTTTTTGCCCATCAGAAAATTTCTGTGCAACCACACCATGCTTTCGGCTATGGAGCACTCTGTAAGAAAATACAGCATTCATCAGAATGACTATTATTTATAAGATCCATGCTGAACTTTCAGAATATAAAGGTGTATCTCCCATAATTTCCCCCCTCAGCCTTTTGTTTTGAGATTAGATCTTGTAGGTAGCTGAAATCATTGGGATTTTTAAGCTACAGAGTGACATGATCAAATTAGTGAACACGGAACACTTTAGATTTCTGCTTCTAAGAAGGTGGAGTAGATTAGGTGTACTTTGCCTACTCCTCCTATTAATTACAACAAAATCCCAGGACATTATATAGAAAAGAAGCACAAGGTACTCTAGATTTAAGGAGGAGAGAAGTAAGACTGGCTTATGACTTTGAGACCCAAGAAATGGTGCAGTGTGTATTAGTCAGGGTTTTACTAGAGAAACAGATATAACACAAGATGTACAAATATATAAGAAATTATAAGATTGGCTTATGACGGTCAGCCAGGGAGTTGGATGAGGAAGCGGCAGAGGGTGTCTGCACACTGAAGACCGAAGGAGTCAGTCCAGGGTCTGGAGTTCACTGCAGCGTTCCGTGCTAGTCCGTGTCAGGAGGCCGATGGGTCTGCGATGGAAGGCTGAAGGATCCAAGATGGAAGCCGAAGAGTCTGCGCTGGAAGTCAGGAGATGACATCCAAGCTGAAGGTGAAGACTGGAGCTCCTCAGTTTTGTGTAAGTTTGGGGGATATTTTGCGAGGGGAAACAATACAATACAGGACACATATTTTATAAGATTATTTATAATAGTCACCAAAAGAATGATATACAAAAGAGTACAGGAAATCTGTCCACAAATATAGACCAAGGAATCTAGCTGAGGGCCTGGATCCCACGATAATAATCCTGCATGAGTCCAGCTGAAGAGCTAGAGCCCATAACAGTGCCTCCTGTGAATCCAACTGGAGGCTCAGAGTCAATAACCATATCTCATGCAGGCCTGTTTCATGGATCTGCACTGGGAAGGCCCAAAGGTCAGTGGTGGAATCTAGGAAGTCTGTGCCAGTAGGATAAAGGATCTGCGCTAGCAGGCTAAGGGATCTGCACTGGAGACAGGAAGTGACACTCAGAAGAACCAGGGCTCCCCCAGAAGGTACCACAGCCATCCTCAGCAACAGTGAGGTCCCAAGCTTCTCCAGTGGTGAAGACAACTGAGTTCCCATCAGGAAAGCCAATGCAGCAAGCTTCTCCAGGAGACTGAGCTGTGCACCTTCTTCCTCTCCGGAGCCAGGAAGTGATGCTCAGAGTGAGGACCAGAGCTCCCCCAAAGTGAACCAAAGCTATTCTCAATGCCAACAAGGCCCTGAGCTCCTTGGAGGATGCAAAAAGCCAAGTTCATCAGGAAAGCCAGCATGATGAGCTCCTCCAAAACAACCAACAGCTCCTTACAGCTTGTACCAGCTCCAACAGCCTTTCAGCTCCCAGCATCCTCACTTTCTCTCCTCCAGGTCTGCCTCTTATGCTGCTGGCAACAGTCCTCAGGTGGGCCTCCCACACCCAGCACCACTCTTACTCAGTTCAGGTGGGGGTTATAAGTTGACCACCAGTTGTCAGTCCACTACCCAGTGATACCATAGTGAGTTCCCTAGGTTTTTCTTTTTTGTTTTTTTTGTTTGTTTGTTTGTTGCTGTTTTGGTTTTTTTTTGGTACCAGGAATTGAACTCAGGACCTTGCACTTGCCAGGCAGGTGCTTGTGCCACTGAGCTGCATTCCCATCCCTCTCTAGGTTTTTCTTATATATCCTAGACTGGGTACAGGACAAGGTGGCAGGCAGGCCATAAATGTTAACATCTGCAGACCACACATATATACACATACACACACACATGCACACATGACTTATTTCATTTCTCTGGCCAAAGAACTGAAAGGAACGACCTAGCCAAACAGAACATTTTTTGGTAAAAACTGTAGTACTCCAGCCAATACACCGTACTCCAACCAAACACCGTGAGAAAACTGGTCTATCCCCACCATCAAAGGCCTCGTAAAGATCTGTTCTCACAGGCTATAATGAGGTGTTTACCTGCTCCTGCTGGGGAGGTATCAGACGAGGTCTAATTAGGAGCCAAAACTTCCATTCCCACCTAGCAGTAATGAGGTAGTGTCCTCTTTTATCCACCAGAGTGGTCAGAAAATGCCTGCTAAAACGTAAGATTTAAATAAGATCTAGAGCCTTTTAAATAATACTCAAAATGTTCTGGCTTTAATTGAAAAGTCCTCATTATACCAAGAACTAGGAAGGCATCAAATTGAGATCTCATGAGCCAGGTGTTGTGGCGCACATGTGTAATTCCAGCACTCAGGAGGCTGAGGCAGGAGGATCTCTAAAGTTCAAGGCCAGCCTGGGCTACATAACAATACCCTGACTGAAAAAACCCCAGAAATTTAGATCTCACACTAAGAAGAAATTAGCAAGATGATAAAAGTTTTACTTGTTGGATAAAGATTTCAGAGCAGCCATCATTAAAATGTTCTAATAATTCCAAACATACCTGAAACAAAAGTAGAAATTCTAAAGAAAGAAATAGAAAATTTAAAGCATGCAATGGAAATTAAGAAAAATACAATAACCAAAATAAAACACTGGACACCGGATGTGTTAAATGGTAGAGTGGGGACAAGATGGTGGAAATAGTGAGCCTAGAAACAAAGGAATAGAAATTATAGTCTGAATCATAGAAAAAAAGACTAAAACATGAATAAGAAGTGGTAGGATTACAACAAAATATCTAATATTTTTATTTTCAGGTTCTCAGGACAGGAGAAAGAATAAAACTGCAGAAGTATTCAAAAAATAATGGCTGGAATAGCCTCAAATTTAGACCTACAGGTTCAGGAAACTGAGTGATAACCCCCCAAAAATCCATATCAAGATAGATCATGGTAACACTTTCCAAAGTTAATGAAGGTACTGAAAGGAGCCAGGCACAGATGATACTTTACTTATAGGGGAAAAAGAATTCATTATCAAGCAAGAAGATCTTGTAATAATGAAGGAAAGCTATGATAATGTTTCACAAGCAGACTTATCCTAAAAGAATAACTAAAGGTAGCAATTTTTCGTTATTTTTGAAACAAAGTATTTATTTCTAAGTGACTCAGGTTGTTCTCAAACTCCCAGTATCAAATTACTCTCCTAGCCATATGAGTAGCTGAGACTACTGACATGTACCACCCTGCCTAGCTAAAGTAGTTCTTTATACAGAAAGAAAATGATAATAAAAAAAAGCCAAGGTGGTGATACTTATCTGTAATCTCAGTGCTCAGCAAGTTCAAGTAGGAGGATTGTGAGTTTGAGGCCAGCCTGGGATATGTAGCAAGTTCAGAGCCACCCTGAACTACATAGTAAATTCAAAGCCACCTTGGATTACATAGTGAAACCCTGTCTTAAAAAACAAAAAGGTAAAAGAAGAATCTTGGAACGTCAAGGAGGAGGCAAAAAAGGGGGGTAAAAAACTAAGAGTATAGCTGAATAAATAAATTTGTCTTCTCTTGAATTTCTAGATTATGGTTTACATTGAAGCAAAAATTGTAACACTGCTTAACATGATTCTCAATGTATTGAGAGAAAATTATTTTGGTTCTTCTAGACAGTTTCACTGTGTAGTTCAGGCTGGTCTTGAATTCATTATGCATCCCAGACTGTTCTCAAACTCACAGCATTGTAGAGAAAATATTTTATATAATTATAAATGTCACAGGATAATCCAGGCAGATTGGCACATGCCTGTAATCCCAGTACATAAGAAGCTGAGGCAGGAAGATCTCCATGAGTTTGAGGCTAGCCTGGGTTATATAGTGAGTTCAAGGATATATAATGAGTTCCTGTCTCAAAAAAACAATGTCATAGGGTAAAAGGTGATAACATAGACCAGTTTTCTGTCCTTTACTTGAACTGGTAAAATGTCAATACCAGTAGGCTATAAATTATACATATAATTTATTGACTCATTGATATTGGTGCTGAAAATTATATCCAGGGCTTTGTGTATTCTAAGCATATACTCTATCAGTGAGCTCCCTGTCCTCCCAGGCCCTCTCTGTATATCTTTTTTTGTACAAATTTTAGATGTTAAATTATGTACATAATGCGGCTGGGGGTAGCTTAGTGGTAGATCTTGTGCCTAGCACTCTCAGGCCTGGGGTTCAATCCCTAGGCCTCTCCCAGAAAGATATACAAAGACGTACACGTAGAACTATAATGGTTAAATCAAAATGGAATCCTAAAATCTATTCAAGTAATCCACAGGAAAGGGAGAACAAGAAAGCAGACAAGGAAAGACAGAACATGAATAAATATAAAATGATAGACTTAATCTGCAATATATCAATAATTATATGAAGTATATTTAATTCACACCAGTGGTGGTGAACCTATGGCATGTGTGTTATTTGTTTTTCTTTCAAGACAAAAGATGTTAATGTGTGAGTGGTTTTTATGTAAACTAAAACCTCAGTATGCAGATTTAATTTTAGTGTTAGTGCTTAATGATAAGTAAGTGGGTTATGGGTTGTACTTTGGGCACTCATCTCTGTAAGGTTCTCCATCACTGGTCTATCCCGATTAAAATGCAGAGATTGGGAGACTAAATAAAAAACAAGACCCAACTATATGCAGCCTACCAGAACTTCACTTGAAATATACATGATGCCAGTAGATTGAATATAAAAGGATGGAAAATAATCTACCATGTAAACCTTAAAAGAAAGCAGGAATGGCTGTATTAATACCATATGTAGTAGATTTCTGACAAAAGAAAATTTGCGGGGACAGAGAGATTGTATAATTGTAAAAGGTTTAATCCACCAAGAAGGCATAGCAGTACCTAACATGTGTCACCAAGTAACAGAACCATAAAACATGTGATGCAGTAACTGATATAACTGAAAG